GGGAGCGGCGGAGCGGCTTTTCTCGCCGCGGAGGCCTCGGGCGGCGGGACCGTGGTGCGTCTCGGCGGTCCAGCTGCCCGCGTCCTCCACGGCGAGAAAAGCCGCTCCGTGTCTCCCTGGTCTGCTGCGGGGGGGGGGCGCCAGCTCCGCGTCTCCCTGGTCTGCTGGGGGGAAGCGCCCCCCATGCCGCCGGAGGCGGCGACAGTGGGGGAGGCACCCCGCACTAGCTGTGCCCTCGCCCCCGTTCGTAACTAGAGGTCTGACTTAAGTCAGACTGACGTAACCCGGGGCCTGCCTGTATTTATCTTGTTACTATTTATTATTTGTATTTTGCTTTATTTTCATTCATGGCAGTCTGTTACCTCCTTGCAAAAAGTGCTCCAACCCCAGGGTTGCCAGATAGTTTGAACAAGAATACCGGACACACTTGACATTACATCACAATCTACATTACATCTTATTTAGAAAATATCGGACATTTATATTTTCTCATATTTTCTCAATTTGTTTTCCAAACAGAAAGTTCAGTTACTGGATTGTCCGGTTCAAAACTGGACACCTGGCAACCCTATCCAGAACCCATGCTGAGCTGTTTCCCTGTTACCAAGGTCTTGCAAGATTTACTCAGAAGTAACAATTATGTATGAAACTGTGGCTGTAGTAGTCTAATAACTTATTTCAGAAACTTGGTTGGTCAAAATTTCTAGTTTGTTTACCAGATGTCATGCTGGCTTAAAATGCTTTCATCAGTATTCTAGGAAAAATTAATCTTTACAGTTATTCCTGGTTTCTTCGCAATATGAAGAAATCTTAACAGGCCCTAAATAATGGCCTTTGTGGGATTTTCAGATACGCTCAGTATTACCTTAACTGTACTCCCATTAAATTCAGTATGAGCAGAGTTAGGTCAATGCTGAACACTTTTTTCTTCTACTATAAACACTGAGTCCCTTTTAAAAGATACTATCTTTAAAAGATGTTAATCCTTATTTAATAACAGAGTGTTCTTTACCAAACCATCTGATGAAGTGGATTTTATTCAGTAAAGCTCTTGATCCTATATATTTGTTAGTTTCTAAGGTGCCACAGGACTACTCATTTTAGAAATGGAAGAAATTCAGACAGAGAGTAAGGTAGATTCAGACAGAGAGTAAGGTAGAAGTGCCTGAGAGAATTAGGAGTACTAATCCTGTTGGAAGTTCCCAGTGACTCTCTCCAAACATGTGACAGTCGACTGTAGAACCTAGAGTCCAGTCTCCAAACGATACTTGCTATTACTGTGGTACTGAGTATCTGCATTTAAGATTTAGGATTAAAAAATGTAGTTCTATATTTGTAATAGTTTGTAATGGCTTCCTACTGTGTTGTGTATTTCTTTTTTTTAATATACATATAGGAGGACAAAGAAGCTAAGAATCCCATGCCAGACAAAGGAAACCATGGACTAGTTCCAGGAAATGAAAAATTCAAGCCTGTGGTACCTTGGCCTCATGTTGAAGGTGTGGAAGTGGACTTAGAATCTATTCGGAGAAAAAATAAGGCCAAAAATGAATTAGAACATCATGTTGATGATAACAATCAGCAAAACATCATGCAGAGGCAATATCTCACATTTAAACCTCAGACGTTTACATACCATGATCCTGTTTTACGAACTGGAATTCTTGGTAATTTTGAACCCAAAGAACCTGAGCCTCATGGAGTTGCTGGTGGCCCTGGAGAGGAAGGCAAGCCATATGTATTAGGACCAGACTACAAGGAATCCATTCAAGCCAGCGTTAAAGAGTTTGGGTTTAATATGGTGGCAAGTGACATGATCTCACTAGATCGGAGCATTAATGACTTGCGTCAAGAAGAGTAAGCAGACTTCTTGTTGTTTTTTTGTGTGTGTTTGTTCAAGTATTGGGTAAATTTTTTACATGAGTTTTAACCATATATTTTAAAACTACAGTATGGATTAAGGAAAATAACATATCTTGGGTTAGCAGGTCTCCAGTTACATCATTTTCCTGTGTTCTTATGTTATTTAATCTTTTCTTGAATATTAATCTTGACTGATTGCCCCGCTGAAGTAGTCCATTCTAATGCCTAATCACTTTAATTAGGATGTCTTGGGTCAGCCTCTTCTTTAATTATCTTTTTATTTTTCATCTCTCATCAAGATTTTTTAATATTGTGAATAAGCCTTTTTATGTCTTTTTTTTTAAAAAGCTTATGGTTAGGATTACAACAATTCCCCTCCCCAAGCCTTCTAAAAAGAGCTCTTTATAATAGAAAACCAAAATAAGAAATCTATTCTACCCCTTGAGGTATGTACTCATTGGTTACCTGCCTACACCTCCAGTAGTATTCATCTGCCATGGAAGTGTTTGGAATTTAAATATGACACCAGCATAATCTTCCTAACCACTTGGCTTCTTGTGTGTTATTATAAAGGAAACAGCCCTACAGATCTATTTCCTTGCTCTGGTATATGGGATTTTGGGATATATTTTGGTGGGGCATGGGAATTCTTACTTTCTTCCAGTTATTTTACAGATACTGCTTCTAGCAGCTTGAGAAAGTTGAATTGTGCTCAATCATCACATTTCCCTTATTAAATCTGTGTCAAGAAAAGGTCCTCTGAGTTCACTATACAGGCAGTCCCCGGGTTACGTACAAGATAGGGACTGTAGGTTTGTTCTTAAGTTGAATCTGTATGTAAGTCGGAACTGGCGTCCAGATTCAGCCGCTGCTGAAACTGACCAGTGGCTGACTACAGGAAGCCCGAGGCAGAGTTGCTCTGCCCCGGGCTTCCTGGAATCAGCCGCTGATCAGTTTCAACAGGCTGAATCTGAACGCCAGTTCCGACTTACATAGAGATTCATCTTAAGAACCCCAGGCATCCCCAAGTCAGCTGCTGCTGAAACTGATCAGCGGCTGATTCCAGGAAGTCCAGGGCAGAGCAACTCTGCCTCCGGCTTCCTGTAGTCAGCTGCTGGTCAGTTTCAGCAGCGGGTGGATCTGGGCGGCCGCTCCCAC